TGGACACAGGACAGCCCGCTGGGTGTGTGGCTGTGGCTTTGCTGAAAACAGTTTATTCTCGGCAATTTGGGGGAATCCGCCACCTTTTTCTTGTGGCAAAATGTGCACAACATTATACATGACATTGGTCAGTGTGTGGTTCAGTTGCGTTCAGCACATCCACCATGTTGTGCAGCCTCAGCACCATCGTCTCCAGAACTTCTCATCCTCACATAGGAAGCCTGGTCTCCATGACACGGAGCCTCCCCAGGCTCTGCCATCCACGGAGCTCCGCTCTGTCCACCTGCCTCCCAGGTGCCTCTCCCTGACTTGTACCCACAAGAAAGCTGTACTCGGTGCAGCGTCTGAGGAGCACCCTGCAGGGGGCAGTGTGCATGGCCTCAGCTGGTGGCAGTGAGGGTGGCCACAGGCCACGTGTCAGGCAGATGGCATGCTCTGGTCAGATGGTGGCGAGCTCCACGCTGCCTCACGGGGTCCAGTGGAATCAGGGGCTGCCCTGTGGCTCTAGGGGCCCAGCAGCAGCTCTGGGGCTCTGCCTCCCTGGGCCCGCATCCTCTTGGCATCTCTCCTTGCTCAGGCCTCCGGCCTGGCTGTTCTTTGTGGCTGAGATCCCTGCAGCCAGAGATGGCTGCTGCCCAGTGACAGCAGGTGGCAGGTCCAGAGCAGGTAGAGTCAGAGCAGCTCCTTGCTGCCTGCTGCCTGACCCTGGAGCGGGCCTGAGAGGGGAGCAGCTCTCTCTGCCCATGGCCCAGCCAGGGGGCACCCGCCTGCCCTTCCTGCCAGGGGATATGAAGCTGCCTGTGCCAGGGGATGAAAGGGTTCAGAGAGGGTCCCTAGGAGGGTCCTTCCAGGTGAGGATGCCGCTGCTCAGACCCCGGCTTCTCCATCCCCAAAGGGAAACCCCGCCCCCTGGTGGTCTCACCCAGGCCCCTGCCATCCCTGCAGATGCTGTGGCTGCTGTTCCTGAGCCTCCCAGGCCTGGGGGGCTCCGTGCCCTCGTTCCCAGGTGAGTCCTGACTCCCTGTCCCCATCTTCTGCTCAGGCTGCCCAGGCCCCTCAGCGTCAACTCAGGGTGGGCCTCCTTGGTTCGTCCTGGGAGAGACTGAGTGCGAGGGTTCCTGCTGGGTCTCTGATGGCATCCCCTTTGTTCCCAGGTCCCGGCTCAGGGAGGCAGCAGGGTGGCCCCGGGGGGTCGCACAATGCCCCCGCTGGGAGATGGCCTTGGCAGGTCAGTGTCCGAAGGTACAATAAGGAGCTGGAGCTGTGGCAGCACCTCTGTGGGGGCTCCCTCATCCACCAGCAGTGGGTGCTGACCGCAGCCCACTGCACCCAGCGGTGAGCCACGCAGCCCGAGGCCCCCTGGCAGGGGTGGGGGTGGGAAACACACAGAGGGCTGATGGGAGGGGGGCTGTGGGCAGGGCCCTGTGTCTCGGGGGAGACACAGTTAGAGCAGCCCCAGCCCTGCTGCTGTGCCCAGACTGGCCCTGCCCCGGAGGCTCCTCTGAGAGGCTCCTGGGCCCCAC